TTGAGATGCTGTCAAGTCTTTACCTCTGATTCTGGCAACTTGGCCTATACTTTTGTGTTGAATTACAATCATGGTATATAGTTTTCTCTTTGACGTTAAAATGTTTTATTCATTCAAGCATTATGCATTGACTTCTTTCTGTCTTTCTAGCAGCATGTTGGGTACAAGGGTAACAGTATAGCTAATCTTGGAAAGTTAGTAGAGTTAATCTTGAAAGTTCTCTGTTAGTATGAAGAAGAAATAAGCAAGGATGTAATTACTGGTCCAAGTGTTCAGCTGTCATCATAGAGGTCAGGGTCAAAGTTCTGTGATGATGCAGAGTATGGGGATCAGGCTTTGAGTTGGTGACTCTTACTAACCAGCATTAATCATGATTCTAATTTCTCCTTCTTATTTTTTTTTTTTTTGATGAGTTGGGAATGCAGCCAAGGTCCTCATTTTATTTTTCTTGGTATTCTCTACACAGGGCCTGGCATATAGTAGGTGTTTATTAAATCCTTAATAATAAATGAGTGATACTTTTTCTTATGAGAGAAAATAAATGTTTTTAGAAGAGTCAGCTTTATACCACAGTTTCAGGGAATGAATTGTGATGAAAGGCGAAGATTGCTTTTACTTGAAAGAGGCTGACAAATTTCCCAGACCTGGGATCACTTTATGCAGTGTATGATTTAAGGGTGAGTGAGCATGCCAGAGCGCTCCACTTGAGCTGAGTGATGGGGAATGAGTTGTGGAGCTGTGGTCTTAGATGGTATTTTGTGAAAAATAGTGGGAGATTTATGGCTATTAAACAACTTTGTAGCTGCCCCCTTCTTGTCTTGAAGCCTGCCAAATCTCTCCTCCTGTGGTCTGTATCATGTTCCTTCCGGGCATCCATGATGTTCAGAAATATCCACTGGAATGCAGGTTTTCATGGAACGCACCCAATGGGAGGGGGCTCGAATTTTACACATTCATCTAAAGACATTTGTGTTCTGGAACCGCAGAGTGAAATTCTCACTTTGCAAATCTCTTGTACTGTACTTTCATTCAGTCTTTTCCAATGAGGTTGCCAAAGTTCTTCCTTCCTTCCTGCGTTATAGAAATTGCAAAGCACAGTATATTAGTGACCATTATCATCATTGATGTGAGTTTAAAAAATTATTAGCAACTCTCCAATTGTGAGTAGGAGACAAGTACAGAAACCTTCAGTATGCTTTGGCAGATCTTAAGCAGAAGGGCTTACCGGGCTGGAACGAGCATTTCAAGCCTTGGTGTGAAGGGGGAATTTATAGTTACTACTGCTTATCGGCTTTTTCCATTCTATTGTCATACTCAGTAGCTTTGGAAGAATTAGAAATGGGATATTTCATCACAAAAAGCCAACCAGAGATGACCTGAATCCACGTTGGGCAAGTACTAGAAAATTGTTAGAGGAAATTTCCTCTAATTATGGGTTTATATCAACATAGGACTTATGGATCAGAGAGAAAATAGGAGTCTGTTTTTTCAATTTTCATGTTTAATTTTGAGAAATTGCAAAAATGTAGAAAAGTTTGAAAAGTAATGAGGATGTTCAGCTACCATACAGGATTTGTATTTTCTAATATCTTGACATTTTTTTTCATGTCTTATCTTTCAATAAAAGAAATAAACCTTATCTGTAAAATAGAAGCTCACCCTCTTTCCCATGAGCCCCAGTCCTATTCCTGTGCCCTGTGGTAGAGGCAACCATTTTCATGAATTTAGTGTATAACTTTTATAATTTTTAGACCTTTCCGTATACACATATGAGATCAAAGAACTACACGTTTACATAAATAATATTGCACTACATTTATCATTCTGCATTTTCACTTTTTATTAAATTTTTAGAGCTACTCAAATTGAGATATATAAATCAGCTTTATTGCTCTTAAGTGCTAAATATTATTCTGTCATATGAATATACAACATTTTATTTATCGATTTTCCTCACTGATAGACATTTGAATTATTTCCAATTTGTTCTGTTGTAAATAATGCTGCAATAAACATTGTTCTATGTTCCACCTTACAGACCTGAGTAAAATTTTCCATTGTATATATTTTAAAGGGAATTGCAGTACCAGTTTTCAATTTTATTAGATATTGCTAAGCTACTCTCCTGCGTAGTTGAACCAATGTACGTTCCCACTGGCAAAGGATGAGAGGTTAAGAGATTTGTTGTCCTTCATTCTCTATAGCACTCGCTATTGTGAGACTTAAAAGTTTGCCAACTATGATGGACAAAAAAATAATTGCATTTTGTTTTAATTTGCATTGCCTTTAGGACTAGTAAATTTGACCATCTTCTCTTTTATTTATTGACTACTCAGGTTTCCTCTTCTTTGAATTGTCTGAGATTTCCTTTGCCCATTTTTTATTATATTTTTATTTATTTAGGGATATAGGTATTCTGGATGCTAATATTTTATTGTAGATGTTGCAAAAATTCTCTAACGGGTGATTTAAAAAGTAAAATGTAAAAGTAATTCTTTGCCACAGGTCGTTAGAAAATTTGGCAAGTACTTAAAGATTTGAGAATTATTTGTAGTTCTTAGGATTCCGATTTACCCCGATTTCCCTGTTCCCATTTTAGGCATCCTTCATTAATCCAGGTAAAAGAAAACATTAAATATTTCCACTTATGTTTCTATTATTTCATTCTTGATATACTGTGAGTGTATTGCTTCAGTTTCAAGGGGAGTTCTTTATTCTGGGGCGGGTAGAATGCAAATTTAAGACATTGTCTTGTCCATTTCTTTCATATGATAATTGTGCTTTTCTGAATCATGCTTCTAAGCATAATTTTCAACATCACTATTGAAAAGATCACATGGAGTTCATTTTGCTAAAAGCCAAGTCAAAGAACTGGTAGTTAGAACCTTGGTTTGTAGCGGTTTTCCCCAACATCCAGCCATGAAAGTCTCACCAAAAGGCATAGTTTGCAAAATTGTTTTCTTCCTGGATTCTTTTCCATGACTTGAGTTTATAAATGGACACTTAGCAGAAAAGTAATTAAGTGCTAGGCGAAGAATGATGACTGCAAAACAGAACTCAAACCACACAGTTTTTGCTTTGACTACAATTGGAAATAAAAGTTAAATCTCTATTTTACTCTTGGTTACAAAACTCGTATGTTTTTCCCTGTCAGAGGTATTTGCTGAAAGGTAGTTTCTTCCAGTAACTTTAGGAAAAGCTGTCATCAAGTTGTCAACAGCCCAAATTGAGATTAAAAGCACCAAGAAATATCACAATATAGCAACCTAAAACTCATCCTGGAATTTTAGGCTTTTTTAGTAACAAGGTGGAGTAGAAACATTGACAGAGAAAGAAGCTATGGCCTCTTATGGAGGAAGTACAGTAGATCTGTGGAAGGACATTCCCCATTCCTCTGCCGCATATATCCTGCCTCGAGCATTGAATAGATGCCATATTCAGAACATGTCATTGTGTCTCATTTATCATGTAGGGATTACAGGAGACCTTGATGCCAAATGGAGAAACACCTGGTGATTCTAATGTTTGAATTTTAATCTAATTGCTGACTCTTTTACATTGTTGCAGCATCCTAAATGTCTAATGATGCAGTATCTTACAAATCTTGGGTACTTTTTAAAACATTTTTCTTGGTGACTGAACTTTGATCTTTCTAGACCCCAATACCTTTGGATCAAACTTTAAACACCATATATTTCTCTTGCTGCTGAGATGAAGTAATGCTACCCGAAATCTGTCTCTACCTTAGGGACAGAGCTTCTGCTTTTGTGGCATTCAGAACTCTTTCTGTAAGTCTCCACTGAAAGCTGCTTAATCAAACATCTCAAATGTCAGAAACGGGGTTTAAAGGGTTTTTCTAGCAAGTAGGTCTAATCTCCTACTTAGTTTTGATTCCTATAATGTCGATAATCTCTTTGGAGAAAAGGCCTCCTCCTACCAGGGCAAATATATCCCATAGAATGTATTTCCTTTTCCAGAAAGAAAAATGTAGCATTAATGAAATTTACTTTTTCATGAAGCTTGGAAAGGTTGTAAGCTTAGGATTTTGATCCTAGCAGATGTTCTTTTTTGGATATTAAAAAAAAATAAAAGTAGTGTTTGATTCAGAAGTCTCAGTAAGAATTGCAGTGGTGATGCTTCGTACTCCACGCAGCCACACTCAGAATGTGACATACTGGTCATTAGCTCTGAGTGACACCTGACTCTCCGGCTGTGGTCCTTTCCTCCTGCCTTAGCCCCCATGGATGTAGTGTTAGGGAAAGAGAGTTAGCAGCCTGCGTCACACTATATAGAATCGAATGGTTAAAGAGCCTTGTGTACAGTAAAAAAAAAAAAAAAGCATCTTCATAGATAGATTTCAGAATATTTTCTTTTAGACTTTGAAATGGCAAAGTTTTGTCAACGACCACTGTATTTCAAATTTCAGATGGGTTTTTCAGTGCTATTGTAAAATGTAGCCAGAACCCCAGTTGCAGGGTCTGCAATGGTTTGTATCCTTCTCTAGGGTCACTTCATGCTGCCAGGCCTTTTGTCTTCAGCTTCCCATTATCTCCATGCCACTGGGTCCAGTAAACCAGGCTTGTTTGTCCCATCCACCCTGGGGGCAAAGCTCAGCCTCTTCACTGGTTTCCATAGAAATCTCCACACAGTGAACATTCGATCTGTGGGAAGTATTGGCCGGAGGCCTGTGGCAGAAATCGAAATCTGCATCATTTCCTGCCTTCAACTTCTCCTTTCTTCCTCCTCCTTGAAGTGCAGCACAGTAAACAAACCATCCCCTTGTGTCAGAGCCCTTCCACCTGTACCAAGTCCCCTGAAAGCTTGGTAATCGACCCTACACTTAGCAGAATACTATCTCAACACAGACAACTCTTGCTTCCTAAGAAGAGTCTTGGTCCATAATATTTTCTCCAAACCCAGATCCCGAGGAGACAAGTTGGGTAAATGAAGGTATTTAGTGTTTGGTGTGGCTTCATGTTGGTGTGGTTTTTTTCACGCAGGCCTCCAGTGACAGCGTTTCCGCCTCTCCGAAGAGCCGCTACACGCCCCTGCCTTCTGCTTCCAGGGAACTCACCAGTCACCGAGGTAGGAACCCTGCTTTTTATTGCTCTCAGTGGCTGCGGGGAGGGACACCGGCCTGTGCGGAGCTCGGGGCTCATTACTGCTGTCTCGGCACTTTGGAAGGAACACAGTGCTTTTCAAGTCCTTGATGAGAAAACCATACCTGTCAAGCCTAGTGATTTTCACTCATATTCAACAGAATTTAGTGGCAGTCTGTTGGGAAGGCAAATACGTCTATGGTGGAATATAATTTTGTGATACTTTTTCTTTAAACAAAGAGATTATCGTACTTAAAAATTACTAAGGAGGTCATTTCCTCCAGGGAAAGTGATGGAGAGAAATTAGGAAACTCACTAATATTTGTAAAAGTGTCACTGTTTGGGAGTATAATAGTTGAAATCTGTAATTTCGAAATGAATGAACTCTATGTTACAGCTAAAAGGAATTCCAGTTTGCCTAGCAACATTAAGGCGAATCAATATGCAGTTTTCCCTGAATTCTCTGATCCTTGAAACTTTAATTTGGCTTACCCAGTTCTTCCAAAGCCTTGAATTCCTATTGCCATCTCTAAAGTCTGCAAGGAATATAATTTAAACATGCTTTATCCCTAACCTGGCTGCTCAGGCCAAGGACTATGTGACCAGCTTTGTTGGAATTAGTTAGGACAGGAAGAGGCCACGTGATGTAACTTGTTTACCCCATTTTATTCTGGTTATGACCACAGTCATGTTTCGTAATTGTGAATCTACCTTCCAAGGATAAGTAAGAACAGGCTAAGATTGAGGGCATTACATACTTTAAACATTGCTTCTCCAAGCAGGAAATTACCCTGGTACATGCAGGGGACACTGAATAAGGGCTCTTCCAGCTTTGTCATCCAAGCTGCACAGCAGGATGGGTGGGTCGGAGCCAAGTCTGTAGAGATTATCAGAAAGTAGAGCTGGCCCTCTAAGGAAGACATGGAGGTTTCAGGCAAATGGCACACTTATATTCTGCAGGAAACGGTCCATAGAGTAATGCAGGATTCCAGGTGTCTGTGACTTGGACCTGTGTTGTCTGTTTGATGTCTGGGCCCAGTGGAACTTTTCTACATTTAAATATGTGTTGGTTCAATTAGGGTTCAACTGTGATTCCATTCAGTAAGTGTCAAACTTGTGAAAATCAACTTTGCTCAAAGTCAGGTAGAATAACTAACTGCCGACATGTTGTATTTTGAGGGGTGTGAACAGATCTCTTCTGCTGAGTGTCCTTATGAAGGTTGTGAGTGTATCCCTTTAGAGACTGTTTTATTGGGTGGCGGGGGGTGGCGGGGATTCCTCTAGGCAAACAATAATACGCTCTCTAGAAGGAATAACAAATTAAGCCTAGCATCCTATTCTCATAGATGGTCTCTTGCATTTGAATAAGGGTAGTTTTAACTGTGTAGCCTGTTGACTACATGAGTAGGAACTGAAGTCTCGGAGCCCTCAAGCCTACTTGAGTTGATGTGGCCACGAAATTGAGATTTCACAGCAGGAGGGACCCCATAGTGATAGTCATCAGTAGTAGGGCAAAGTCATCTGTCGTCGTAACAGTAAAATAAAGAATCTGAACCTTGAAGAAATGGAATATAAAACAATAGTTTTGAAGATATTTTGGTTAATATTTGGAATATGGAAAAGTACCTAACATGGTTAGAGTGAAAATAGGCCCCCTTGAATGATATCAGAGCCCAGCATCAATAGGGAAAACATTATTTAAAGGGAGCCAAGAGCAGATGTCTTGAATTTCCTGAGTAATTAATACACACTTAATGCCTTTGAGGCATTAGTTGCCTGATCTGTGCTAAGTACTTGGATGTTGAAAAGAGCAAGACAGCATCATGAAACGACGGCCAGGTCTTTGGACTTAATGTTCATGAGGAGACCAGTAAAGAGAGAACCAAAGAAGCTCATTAGGCTGAATTATTATTGGACTGATGTGCGTGGGGAAAATATGTGACTGATATATTTCACCTTGGCATGAATCATGCAGTGACAAATGAGGAAAGCCATAGTTTTCAGCATCCAGAATGAAACCACTTAAGGCCATCTTGGTTTATTTTGTATTTAAGTGAAATAAATTATTCTAAATTTCTGATTCCATAAATCACCAAACTTTTTGAGTGTCATTTGTTAATATTTTCATGGCAACAGCCTACAAACATTTATCCAGAGAGGTACTTCCACGTTGTGAAGGCAAATTACACCAATTCTTTCCCAGGTGAAATCCTCCATGATGTTTGAAAGTTGGTCTATAAAGTCCTAAGTGGAAATTCTATTTGTAAATAATTTTTGGTTCATTCGGTTCCCAATCTCTTTTCATTCCGCACCAACGACTACACAAACTGGTGGGCAGTAGTTCATGTGCAAATTGCTATTTTGCTATACTTGCCATCTTCCCTTTGCTTGTCCTTTTATGTAACTTCCAATGTCGAGTATGATAGGCCAGAGATTCATGTCCTAAGGACTGTAGATTCAAATGCAAAGGAAGTCTGGGCCCAGAATAATGATCAGGAGACAGGGGACTCTATTTTTCCATCTGTAACGTGTAGATAATCTAAACCTCATGGGGACAGTAATGCCCAGTACTTTGTTCTTCCTGCGTGAAATTTTTACTGATCTTACCTGTATTGAATTTTTCCCCTAGTTGAGGTACTTATCATATTTGTTTCTATCTCCTTAGTGCCATTGCTCATATTCTGCTTTGTATGACAGGGGTCAGGTTTATGTATGTCTTGAACTCCTCATAAATGAAAGCTCCCTAAGGGGCAGTACAGATTCTAACTCTCCTTCCCTTTCACATCATTAACTCCGACTCATTCGTCAGGTATCAGCTTCAGTACAACAGCTCCAAAGAAGATTCCTCTGATCTCACCCTATCCATTTGCTTTAGGTCAGTTTTCCCTTTTCAGGGACTGTCTTCCCAGATGGCAGCTCTTGGCGGTGGGGTGGAGCGGGGTGGGGGGGGGTTGGTGTGGGGTAGGGGGTGGAGGTGCTGATGTCTGTTTACTCGCCACTATTTTCGCAGTGCCTGGCACAGGGCCTCCTACTTAATCAGCGATCAATAAATATTTGTTCAGTAAATGATGAGTAATAGAAACCCAGGGGAAAGTCAGTGACTTAGGTACCTCTTGTTGGTATCTAAGTACCCCCGTTGCACATAAATTGCGAGGTAACTTGATTGCATCTGAGGAAAGAAACCCATCTGCCTTTGGGGGTGAGCACATACTGAAGGGAGTGGCCTGTCTTGTGGACGTCAAACCTCAACTCTGTTGCTTTCAGAAACCCACACACACCATCATGGACTGGAGCTGTATCTATTGGTTCATGGCCAGAAGGCATTTAGCCGTATTGCACAACTTCCAAGTAGATAGTTATTTTAATGTCAGAGTTTCCAAACGCTGGTGTTTTGATGATGGAAAGGACTAGGATGAATTAAAGCAACTCAGGGAATTATTTTACTAGAACAGAAGTTCTCAAAGAAGGGGCTGGAAGTTCAGTAAGATGCAGGTTGTGGTAAAGATAGGGTTTTAGAATGGTCCGCTTAAAGTCTCTCGGAGAATTCTCCTCTAGGTCTGAGCATGTCTTCAGAATATGGGGGATATGGGGCTATGTCAGTGATTCCAACTGCTACCTAGTGATAGTCTGCATACATACTTACCTCCTCAGTGGGTAGCCACATTATGAGGAATGTTGAAACGTTTATCAGAGAAATGGATATACCCCTGCATGCCATGTATTGCCACTCTTTATCTGGTAGCTGTTAGAAGCAGAATTTGCATCTTTATAGACCATTGTGTCTTTTGGGAAAACATTTCTATTTAGATCATAGACCATAAATAAACCCAATAAGATGGAGAGGGTAAATGTTAGTTTTCCCATTTAACAGAGGAAGACACACCCAACAATTGCTAGGGGAGCTGAATCACTCAGCAACAGAGGCAAGGAAAAAACATCCAAGCTCTGTGTCCTAGATTCCCAGGCCACCCCAGACCTTTGTCCTTTACACAGGACACATAAAGCAATCCGCTGCCTGGGGTGCATTTCGAAAGCCTGTGCTAAGGCTGTGGTAAGGTACAGCGTCCTTGCCAACTTCTGTCAAAAGAGTTGCCTGTTACTCCCCTCCCTCCGCCCTTTTTAAAAAATTACAAATCTATACATTCAGGAGCAGAGATAGTTTGAAGAACCAAAGGGAAAAATGCTATGGTATCAACCTGAATTCAGACAGGTAAAATTGAATGCACGCCATTCAAATTATGAAGGGTTTTAATGTAAGGAATGAGAGGCTTACACATACAGGAAAGGACTGACAGGGAAGGTGTCACCCAGAGTCTCACCTCTGTGACCGGTGATTCTCAAGAGCTTGCTGAAGTTTCTGTGCATCTCAGGAATACTTGGGAATCTCCTCGTGACTTTCTCAGTCTGCAGCACCAAGGCGGCGGTGATTCTCCGGAAGTTCTTCAAAGGTTAGGACTACCCACGCATTGCCCTGCCCCTCCTCTCTGGATTTCCACATCATACTCAGTGTCTCTCTTTGGCCCTCTCTAACCGAGAACTATGCACACAGGGAATTTTGGGAAATGTAGTTTCTAGTTTCTCCTGTGAGCTGCAGAGAAAACCTCAGAAGGGGGTAGTGGTGATGCCCAATTAAAACAGCCAAGGGCTTCCCTGGTGGCGCAGTGGTTGAGAGTCCGCCTGCCGATGCAGGGGACACGGGTTCGTGCCCCGGTCCGGGAAGATCCCACATGCCGCGGAGCAGCTGGGCCCGTGAGCCATGGCCGCTGAGCCTGCGGGTCCGGAGCCTGTGCTCCGCAACGGGAGAGGCCACAGCGGTGAGAGGGTGAGAGGCCCGGATACCGCAAAAAACAAACAAACAAACAAACAAAAAAACAAAACAGCCAAGCCGGCACATCTACCATAATCCTACCTTGCCAACCGCTATCACGTTGAGGGTCCCATTCCAATTGTTTGCACGCACATTTTGCAAAGTAATTGCAAACCCAG